GCGACGCCAGACGCGTTTTGGGCCGGAGAGTTGATAGCCTTTACCGTTTCACCGTTCCCCTCCACTCGGAGCTTTGGCCTCTTAGCCTCACCTGCATCCATAAAGTTATGGGAAGCACCGGTGTCAAACATAATAGGAACGACCTTACCGTATATCTTGACGTCCGCGTATAGGAGTCCCTTAGACTTGGTCTCGGTGTTCTTGTCACCCTTGGACATGCTGGCTTGGACAGCGTCCCAAAGCGGTGCATGGACCCGACGATGGCCTGGCCTTCGTCTTCGGTGACCTTGTTCTTGCCCTTGTTTGGCTGGTTGGTCACGGCATTCATCTTCTTTTGCTTTGGACAGTCGCGAACCCAATGTGGTCCTTGGCAGAGGAAGCACGGGCTCGGGGGAGGCTTGGACTTCTTGTTTCGTCCGTTGTGTCCTCCTTGGCTCGGCTTGTCCGTTCGCGGTTGTCCTTGGTAAGACGGGTTGTGCCGAGGCTTCTTCCCGTCCCTTGACTTGTTTTGATGGTTTGGACGTCCGGCACTGTAGCCCGTGAGTCCTTCCACAATTGAGATGGTTGCATTCAAGGTTTGAGCCTCTCTCCTATTCACTTCTAAACGTGAAAAGTCTTTTAACCCGTCCTTAAAATGAAACAATGCATCATGGTCATTGACATCACCAAGTTCAAGTAAAAGAGAAGAAAATTCTCGGACATAGTCCGCAATACTCCCTGTTTGTCGGAGCCTACGGAATCGTGTCTGTATCTCGTCCCGTGCGTTGGAAGGAACGAATTGTTGTCGCAAGGCGGCCTTGAATTGGTCCCATGTGGTGACCCGACGTTCTTGGTCCAGCAACGTCCTTCTCCACCATAGTTGTGCGAGGTCTTGGAGGTAGTTTCCGACACCTTTGACCTTGACTAACTCTCCCGTAACTCCTGCACCATCAAAGTATTGTTCCATATTAAAGAGAAAGGATTCTACCGTAGAGGAGTTCCTTGCTCCGTTGTAGGGTTTTGGCTCGGGACATCGTATGATTTGCTCACGAGGTGCGTGGTCTCGGTATCAGAGCCCACTCGTTCCATGAGATTTTAATCATTGGTATTAAAAACTCAATTCATGGTAATACTACCATTCTAATATTGTTGTCCTGATGTGAACGTAGGATGGCACCGGGTCGTGGACGAGGACGTCCAGTCCCAGAGGAGGGGAGACGTGGAAATCCTCCTCAGCCTGACCATATGCAAGAGATGAGAAACTTATTGTTGGAGCTCATCACTACTGTGAGACAACAGGGAGCAGCGCCAGCTCCACAACCGGTCCCTGCACCACCTCCACCTTATATTCCACCACCTCCGCCTCCTGTACCACTGGCTGCAGCTCCTGCACCTGCACCGCCTGTAATGAATGCAGAATTTTTCCAGTTTCTTGACCGAGTGGAGCGTCGTACAGCTCCGAGATTTAGTGGTACCTCTGATCCAGCTGTGGCGGAGGATTGGTTGGACAGGATGACTCAGATCTTTGATCTTATTCAGTGTCCTGATCTTTTTAGGACACACATATCCATCTACCATCTGGATGGAGAGGCAAGACACTGGTGGAGAGGCGTCGCCCAACCATTTGGGGCGAACTATCAGTTCACTTGGGGACAGTTCGTCCATGTCTTCCGAGAGAAGTATTACTCGCCTGGAGTTCAAGAGGAGATGACAATGAGATTTATTAGCCTTCAACAGGGTCAAGGATCAGTGAAAGAATATGAACGAGAATTCAATGAGTTATCTAGATATGGAGGTGAGATGTTACAGACAGAGAATTTAAGGATCAAGAAATTCATAAGGGAACTTCGCCCTTCTCTCAAGGCAAAGGTAGAGTTTATGCCAGTATTCCTAGATCATTGGTGCGATGTTACCTTACTAAATTAAGGTTGTTATTCATAGGTGGAACTTCTGAAAATCAATTTGATGTCAGAAATCGTGGATATGGCTGATCGAGTTGAGAGAACTGAACGTGAAATCGAGGCATCCACTAAGAGATCGACTCAATCCAGTCATAGACGGGTTGTCCATGACGATAAAAGTAAAGGAAAGGCTCTTATGCACCCTTATGCAGCAGGAGTTTCGTTGTGCTCACGATGTGGAAGGCGTCATTTTGGTGAGTGTGGGTTGCTCCACATCACTTGTTACCATTGCGGAAAGGTTGGGCATTATAAGAGCGAATGTCCTGAGTTAAAAAGAGAAATACCTAAGAGGATTGAACAAAGACCAGTACAACAACAACCAGCTGCCAAAAGATAAGTGGTGAAACCTAGAGTCTATGCGCTAGCAACTGAGGAGCAAGATGAAGCGGCAGCAATCATAGGTATGTTGATATTTTTTTTTAATGTAACGGAATATCTTAAAATTTTGAATTAACAAATGCATAATTCAAATATAGATGATGACAATTAACTATGGGTATAATTCGACGGCCATATAATATCTTCTATTAGGTATGTTGAGTGTTGGAGGTGAACAAGCACACACCCTTTTTGATATGGGGACGACACATAGTTTTGTTTCACCCACACATGTAGATCGTATGAAGATTGCACCTGATATTAGTGGTGGTATAATATTGGTGCATACTCCTAGTGGAGAGGAAATTGAATCGAAAGGAGTGCTTCGTGATGTTTCAGTGATGATTGGTATACATGACTTACCGGTTGATCTGATCGTGGTACCAATAAGGGGATATGATGTGATTTTGGATATGGACTGGTTATCAGGTCATCGAGCTCACCTTGATTGTAAGAGAGGTAATGTTCATTTTGAACGAGAATGGTCTTTAGTACCAGTGTTTGAAGGTGCAAGAAAGACTTCACGTTTGTCTTTAATTTCAACACTGCGTGAAAATCGACTCCTTCGGCAAGGAAATGAGGCATATTTAGCGATGGTAGAGTTGAACGGATCAGAAACAACGATCAAATTAGAAGATATACCAGTTGTTAAAGATTTTACTGATGTTTTTCCGGAAGACCTACATGGAGTACCTCCTATAAGAGAGATATCTTTTCCTATTGAGTTGAAACCAGGAGTTGAACCTATTTCTAAAGCCCCTTACTGTATGACTGCTTCAGAAATGGCTGAGTTAAAAAGGCAGTTGGTAGAGTTGATTGGAAAACGTTTTATAAGACCTATCACTTCTCCTTGGGGTGCTCCTGTGCTATTTGTTAAAAAGAAAGATGGGAGTATGAGATTATGCATCGATTATCGAGGATTGAATCAGGTCACAGTAAAGAACAGATACCCACTCCCAAGGATTGATGAGTTATTGGATCAACTTCAAGGTGCTAGTTGGTTCTCTAAGATTGATTTATGATCAAGTTATCATCAAATATGTGTTTCTAATGAAGATATCAGGAAAACGGCTTTCAAAACAAGGTATGGTCATTTCGAATTTGTTGTCATGCCGTTTGGACTTACTAATGCACATGCAGTTTTTATGGAGTTGATGAACACCACATTCCGGGATTATTTAGATAAGTTTGTTATCATCTTCATCGACGACATCCTTGTGTACTCTAAGTCCCGCGAAGACCATATGATACACCTGGAAAAGGTGTTAGAACGCTTGAGAAGGGAAAAGTTGTATGCAAAACTAAGCAAGTGTAACTTTTGGATGCGAGAGGTAGGATTCTTGGGTCATGTGGTGTCTGCAGAAGGATTAAAAGTAGATCCACCCAAGGTGTCAAGTATCGTTGATTGGGTGAGACCATCTAATGCCACGGAGATTCGAAGCTTTCTTGGATTGGTTGGGTATTACCGAAAGTTTGTAAAGGGTTTTGCCAACCTATCTAAGCCATTGACAAGATTGACTGAAAAGGGTGTAAAATTTGAATGGGACGAAAAATGTGAGATAAGTTTTGAAGAATTGAAGAAACGATTGAAATCAATTCCTATCTTGGCATTACCAAATCCCGGGCAACCATTTGTTGTTTATAGTGATGCCTCTCACCAATGGTTAGGATGCGTATTGATGCAAGAAGACCGAGTTATTGCTTATGCATCACGTCAACCGCGGAAACATGAAGAAAATTACCCTACTCACGATTTAGAACTTGCAGCTGTGATTTTTGCACTGAAGATTTGGAGATCTTACTTGTACGGGGAAAAGTTCAAGTATACACTGACCATAAAAGTCTCAAGTATGTGTTCTCTCAAAAGGAACTAAATTTGAGACAACGCAGGTGGATGGCCCAAGAAAAAGATGAAAAGACGAAAGAGTTAATGAAAAAGCCGAAAGATTTTATAAAGGCAGGTTATTCCACTTCAAATGATGGGTTGATACTATTGAGAGGTCGTGCTTATGTGCCTAAAGATGAAGAGTTGAGGAAGAAAATATTGAAAGAGGTGCATAATATGCGATATTCTATACATCCGGGTACTACAAAGATGTATCAGAACTTGAAACAGTGCTTTCTTTGGCATAGCATGAAAAAGGTTATTGCAAAGTTTGTTACTCATTGTCTAACGTGTCAACTAGTTAAAGCCGAGCACCAAGTACCTGCAGGAAAACTACAGTCGCTATCGATACCTCAGTGGAAATGGGACTTGGTGACGATAGATTTTGTAGTTGGTTTACCAAGGACACCACGGGGAAATGATGCGATATGGGTTATTGTGGACGTTTAACTAAGTCTGCACATTTTATCGCGATTAAAAAGACATTCTCAATGCCTCGTTTAGCATAGGTCTATATAGAAGAGGTGGTAAGACTTCATGGAGTCCCTACTAGTATTGTGTCGGACAGAGATCCACGATTTATTTCGAGATTTTGGAACAGTTTTCAAGAAGCTATGGGCACTAAGGTGCGATTGAGTACAGCTTATCATCCCCAAACTGACGGACAATCAGAGAGAATGATATAGACGCTAGAGGATATGTTACGTGCATGTGTATTGGATTGGGGAGGAGAATGGGATCGTCACTTACCACTTGTGGAGTTTGCTTACAACAACAGTTTTCATTCAAATATCGGGATGTCACCCTTTGAGGCGTTATATGGGAGATCTTGTAAGACGCCTCTTTGCTGGACAGAAATTGGGGAAAGACGATTGTTGGGTCCTGATATAGTAGATGAAACCACAACAAAGATTAAGATTATTCAGAAACAAATGAAAGCAGCACAGGATAGACAGAAAAGTTACGCGGATAAGCATAGACGTGACTTGACCTTTCAAGAGAATGACGAAGTATTTCTCAAAGTCCAAGCAACCAAAGGAAAGACCCGTTTTGGGATGGTTGGGAAGCTAAAACCCAGATTCATTGGACCTTTCAAGGTATTGAGTAAGATAGGGGCAGTGACTTATAAGGTTGCATTACCCCCAGAATTGGCACAAGTTCATGATGTGTTTAATGTGTCCATACTTCGAAAGTGCCATCCTGACCCTGATCATGTTATTGATTATCAACCGCTTGAGTTAAAACCAGACGAGACTTATGAAGAAGAACCTATCGAGATAGTCGAATGAAAGGCTAAACAACGCGGAGAAGAGAAATACCTCTAGTAAAGGTCGCATGGACACACCACAAAGGAGGAGATGCGACTTGAGAATTGGAGGACGACATGAAAACTCGTTATCCCCACTTTTTTGGTAAGAAATAGTACATACTATAGGTCGTTCTAGAATTCGGGACGAATTCTTCTTTTAAGGGTGGTGAAATTATAATAAACGAATTTAAAATATATATATAGAGAGTTTGGGGTCAAGTGATAAATTAAAAAGTTCTAGAAAAATCTGTTATTTCATGGAGGGCCTTTTAGTACAAAATAAAAGTTTGGACAGAATTTATAAATTTTAGAAAATATAGGACTGGACTGCAATTCTGCTAGGGTTTCTTCTTCTTCTTCTTCCTCCTTCTCCCATGGCCGAACTAAGTGCTCCCAACCCAAACTTTTGCTCCGATTTGGCTTCTTGGACACTGTAGAACGCTGGCCACCGTACTAGTGTCACCTCCCCATCGTCGGTCCGTTTTCCCTCTCTTTCCTTAGTTTTTCGTCGTTTTTTTTCTCCTCCTCCACCACCGAACTTTGTAGAGTTCCGGTGAACGGAAGCTCGGTTTTGGCCGAGACTTGAGGGGTTTGGAAGTTCTTGGCAAGCTGAATCTTTCTTGGGTAGTGTCGTCCCCGGAAATGGTGAACCGTCGCCAGAAAATCTCCGGAAAACATCAGAGAAAAATCAAGTTTTAGAGAATTCTAGTTAGATTTAGGCCAAAATAACTTCGGATTTGGATTCTTTGATTGATTTTACATAAGATACAGAAAAATTAGATGATTCCGGGATATATGACCGCCACTGGCCACCGGCCGTCGACCACCGCCGTCAGCCACCGTCGCCGGAAAATTTTCCGGTGACATGAGTTAAACCATTTCAATTCCGCGGTTCCAAATCCGAAATTCGTTTTACAAAATTCAAAATATTTAGAGACATTCGAACTATTTAAAATAAAACAGTTTAGTCGATAAAAAATTATTATTTGATTAACGTTTTTTTTACTATAGTAAATATTTTTGAAAGATAACTTGTTGATTAAAATTATTATATGATAATTATTTATAGGTGAAGAAAATCTCGAGGTTGTTGAACCCGAGATCGAGGATTAGAGCGAACCTTTCGGGGTTCATTGTTTAGACCAAGGTGAGGGACTTTGATAGAACTCCTATTTCTTCTATCTGTATAGACATGAAAATAGAGAACGTAGATATCATGCGGTTAGGATTTTAAGTTAGATGCCTTATATTTCTTGTAAATTGGTGATGATTGATGAGTGATAGTTGATGATTGATGGTTGATGGTTGACGGTTGGAAAATTTATGTTGCTTGATTATAACTTGTGACGTACATGTTAGGTAATGATGGTTACTTTCATGGATTTATTGGACTGATCATAGAATGAGTTGTATTCATTATGTTGATTGAAACTTTGTATGAAATTTGGAAAGATGGAAGAGGAATTGAGTTAAAGACTATGATGTGACCTCAGACTGTTCTAAAAATATTTCAAAGTGAGTTTTGAGACCATGGTACGGCGGCGATCCGTATGTGATGGTATGATGACAACCCGAGCATGACTGCGATTCATGTGGAGCCATAACCCTGACCACGGCGACGATCCATAGAGGGTTATGACTATTGGTTGAATTTTGAGGCCATGATACGGCGACGATCCGTATGTGATGGCATGATAATGACCAGGGCATGATAGCGATTCATGTGGCATGTAACCTCGACTACGGCAGCGATCCGTAAAAGGTTATTGCTATTGGTCGAGTTTTGAAAAGTTAACTCCGACTACGGCGGCGATCCGTAGAGGGTTACAACGAAATTTTGTTTTGTTTTATAATAAAAGTTTTAAGCTTAGTTTGAGGGGTACTGAATGATCGTGAAGTTTAAACTTGTTTTAAAGGATTGAATAAAGAAAAAATATGGAAATAACATGGATCAATATGTTGAATTCTATTTGAGTTGAATGTTGATTATGGTTGTTTTCTATTTGATTGTCTATGTTGGGTACGGAGGCGATGTTTATAGTCTTGGAACCTCACTGAACTATTCGCGTAGCTCACCCCTTACTTTTTCTCCACGGGTGAAAGGTGAAACGGATTGTTTTGGTTGAACTCGGTAGTTACCAAGAAAACGAAGATTTGGAGATTTTATTTTCTTATGACTTTAATATTTTAGACTTGTGTGTTTTTAGACTTCCGCTGTAACGTGAGACGATGTTGGTTGATGTGGAAAATCCTAGGTTCTATTTAAAAACCTATTTGACGATTCGTCCGGCCCAAAATACCGAATTCGGGTCGTTACATATTCGAAATTTCTCTTTGGCAATACTATAAGCAGTTACAACAACTTTTTTAACAGTAGTATATTCTGTAAAATAAATACGGAATTTGTTGTTCGTTAATTTATATATATTTTTATTTGGTGAAATGCCTGATTAAAAATACATCTCCCTTATTTATTATATTTTTAAATTTTTTTGCATGATTCTGAAATATTTTTCCTTCAACAACATTTTCCTACAAAGTTATAAGTAGAAAAGATTAGATTTTTAATAATCATAACACAAGAAAATAAATGTTAAACAGAATGTACATTTTCATCAATTGATAAGAATCTGATGCCATTGAACTCATTCCTATTGAAAGGATTTTGTTCATTCCATATGCTTAGAAATCTGACCATAATACACCGATAATTATGATGTATACTCATCTGATCCAATCCTACATGGGTTGATATCACTGAGTGTATCTGATTTTTTTTATTCCTATATTGGATTTAATTTGATCAATAACGACATTATTTGCAATATAGTATATTTATTCATTACTTTCATATGAATAAGGCAATCGTTGAATGTAATAATATATATATTTATACATAAAAGTCGTTGGAATGATCCTCCTTAAAAATATTTAAATATTATGTTTTATACACATTAATGAAAATTAAACAAAATACCACCTAGAGTTTTATATACAACGAGATGTTTAGGTGGACCTACCAAATTGCTCTAAATAAAACTTTCATATATATATATATAGATATATATAATCTGTGATTTATTGTTATTAAAGTCCAATCAAAAAATAAAATTAATTATATATATATATATATAACAAACATGTTAAATAGAAATTGGCATAAAAAACAAATTTTTTTACTTCTATGTATAAACATATATTACATACATATGATATTAATATAAAATATATATATATATATGTTTTGGTACCAATGAAATATTATGTTTACTTACATTTAACAAATCGATAACACTAACAAAGTGATATATTTGGCTGATTAATCTTCATTATTAGTAAATTTAAAAAAATACTACTAATCAAATATAAAAAACAAATAGATTAAACAGAAAAAAAAGAAAACAAAAATATAACTTAACTTTCTATAAATAAAGATATGCATTGCATATTACATAGGATATTAATATAACAAAATTTTTAAATAGAAGTTTTGTTCGGAATTACACATTTTTAAAATAATATAAATGTATTGCATCAAATCTACTTTATTCTTCCGTATAAAAAAATATACAAATTAAATAGAAAATGAGAAACAAAAACATAATTTTTTACTTTCTGTTTGTAAACATATATAATATATACATATGATATAAAATCTAAAAAAATTAAAATATATGATTTGGTACCAATAAAATGTTATATTTACTTACATTTAATAAATTGATAACACTAACAAAGTGACATATTTGGTTTATTAAGTTTTCTTATTATCAAAGTAAATTCAAAAAATTATTATTAATCAAATATAACAAAAAAAAATTGTAGAATAAAGAAAAAAAAGATAAGATGTTAAGATGAATTCGTTACGCTCAAGTTTGTCATCTTACAACTATATTATGCGTAACGTTTATCATATTATATATAGTTGGTCCTCAAGCATTACTAATAATGGATAAATCATAATGATATCAAAACAATGCTAAAACTAACAAAAAACAACATACTTTATTCTCAAGTTTGCCACCTACTTCTTGATCAAAACGATCCATAAAACTCATAGTTACAACTGTTCTAATAAACACAAAAAATTATAATACAAACAAATTAAACATTGTGTTTAACAAATTGATAACATTAACAAAATATATTTTGTTGATTGATTCATTGTTATTAAAGTCAATTTAAAAATTAATTCTATTTAAAAAACAATCAGATTAAATAGAAAATGAGAAACAAAAAACATAATTTTTTTCTCTGTATATAAACATATATAATATACACTTATGATATAATAGTATTACAACATATTTAAATAATATTACAACATATTTATGGTACGGTATGTATATCTTTTTGTCAAAAGGTACGTAACTCCAGTCTGTAAAAGACAGAAAAAAACACAGAAGAAGAAGTGAAAGAAAAAACACATGCACACATACGTTACAACAACAACAACAAAAAAAAGAAAGAAAAGCAAGAAGAGATGTGAAACCATGATTGATCACCTGGTTTTCAATTGGTAGAATGATGATATGTTATAAAGTAATGCCTAAATTTCTTAGGGTCGATGATTGTACTAGTTTACAATTTTTTAATTAAAGTTATCATTGTTCAATGAATTCAAACTCATTAAAACTAAAATAATTATAATTAATAAAGATAATTATGAGAAAGAAAAATGTTAATCATTCACATAAATTAACACGTTTACCTATTTACTTATGAAATACTTTTTGCATTAAATTCATTCACAAAAATTAACCGTTTACACAATGATTCGTGAAAGACTTTTTGTATTAAATTTTTAGAAATATACCATTATATTTAATTCTTACAAATATGTTTGTCATCTTCAGGTAAATCTACTTTACTCTTATATATAGATACGGTCGATTTTACGAGAAAATCAGGTGTCCGAAAGTACGTGAACAAATTTTCCAAAATTACCCGAAACAATCCGCGCAGGGCTCTTACGGTTTTGTTTTAGAATTAGACAAAATTACCCAAAATTTTGGATTTTCACCGACTGGAACCGACTTCCGGCCCTAAATAAACCCATCCAAAAGCTCGGGATCTTTTCGAACTGCACGTTATTGCGGCGACCTTCTGGACCCTGCCCTCATGCGCTCTGGTCGCTTGGATCGTAAAAATCGAGTTTCCTCAACCTAAAGGAGCAAAAGCCAGGATTTTGCAGGTTTTTTTTGCCATGCCCTAGTCCTACCCAACTTCATTTTTGATTGGGGTTTAAGCATGTAGGCGCTCCTTTTTATGCGTGTGGGCTTTTGTTGGAAACATCCCAATGGGATTTCCATATGGTAATCTGTTCGCCGAGTACTTTAGTGTGGTTTTTCTCGCTTAGAGACAGTTGTTGCGAAGTTTCTGGTCGAGCGCTGCAAAAGTTTATGGCGACAAACTGATGGGTTGATCTAATTTCATCCAAATAATAGCTTTCTTTCTTCTTGATACTTCGTTTTCCTGGATGTTTTGAATCTCTCATCCGAGTTTTTCCTCTGTTCGTTCACAATCTATTGTTAGTTTCATCTGAATGCATGTAAAGTGTTCGATCAAATGCGTGAACGAACACGTTCCAATGATCCCATTGGGTTCTCGCCTTACAGTTTTCAGTTTTCTGGTGCAGGTATAATGTTGAAACAAGTGATCGACAAGCTTTTGACAGGCAAAGCGATTTCTGGAGCCAATGGAGAAAAGCTTAGACCTTTCTTGTGTTTAGGCAGTCGCGGTGTCCACAATGGCCGGGTAAGTCCATAAACTTCTCGGACAGAGATTTCGGGGAAACAGTTCGGTTTGCAGTAGTTACCATTATTATCGCTTGAAGTAAATCCGGTGAGGTTCATGATGGATCCGGTTACCACTTGTATTCTTGCTGTTGTGTTCTTTGGCTTTGAGTTAATTTCTGCATGTTAGTTAGCTTTTGGCCAGTTCGTGGTAGTAAACTAAAGTCATCATTTACACTTACAAGGAGGAATTATAGCAAGCACAAGTTGCAGTCTTTTTGTCCGAACAAATCAATCCCATAAAGGCATCCTGGTCTACAGTAAAATTTATGTAGTCATTCATGGATCTTTTGACTATCTTTTTAGTTTTTGGTAATCAGCATTAAGAGACCCACGCACCAAAAGAACTCGATGGCTCTTAGTGAGTTAGTGTTACAAAAACTTGCATGTTCTTGACGTTGTGCTATTATTGATCCCATAAGAGAAATTTTATGGTTGATGTTCGGCCATTGTATGTTTTGAGAGGAATAGACACACATGGCTGTGTTATAGCTCTCATATCCATTTTATTTTACCAAATTTGCATCCTTTTTAACAGGTCGTTCATGCACCAAGAAGCTTCTTCGGTGTAGAAGATTACATGGACGACGATACGAGCCGGCCATACACTTACCAGAAAGCGAAAAAATCAAAGAATCCGGACAAACACTTGTCTTTCAAGCAAAGAACAGTCGCGTACATGGAGCCATTCACTCTCGACGTCTTCATCTCCAAACGCTTTGTCTCGGCATCCCTTACACATCGTGTCACTTGTAAGCAAGTCGCTGTTGCGGGAACCAACTCCAAAGACGTCAAAGCCGTGTTGAGGTCACGCTGTGATATTCCGGCTTGTATGGCCATTGGCAGGATGTTGGCCGACCGTGCGAAAGAGGCCGATGTTTATACAGCCTCTTATACGCCGCGTGACAAGGATAAGTTCGAAGGAAAAATCAGAGCTGTTGTTCAGTCCCTCATCGATAACGGTATCGATGTCAAAATCTACCTCGATTGAAAATGTTGGGGGCACTTTTGCAAATGTTGGAAACTTTTGGGGGCAAGACAGCATGTTGTTAAATCCTTTTCTCCTCTAGCTTTCTAAGCAATCTGCTTTTGATGATTTCTTATGTATACCAAATTAAACAAGTCATGACTTATTTGATTATTATTACCATGATGTTTGAGTATATAACAATTTGGTTTGTGTATGAATTTTGCACTTAAAATACGGTCCTATCTCTTTTAAACACTCGGATAGATGTTTCGGTATTTAATTTGGGTTTGGTTCGGAGATGGTTCGGTTTGATTCTTTCGGTTTTATAAAAATATGTACCAATCGGTTATTATATCATTTTCAGTTCTGATTCGGTTCGGTTCGGTTTCAATTTTTATTAAAAAAAATTAGTCTTCTTATGGTTCAATTCGATTGCGAAAAATTCAATTTTCTAAAAATACTACCGTTTAAAAATTTTAAACGGTTCGAATCGAGAAAGATATCATATTTTTTGGTTCGGTGCGATTTGTATTGAAACCTCCATGCTTATGTGATTATGTGATGACGTCATCTGCAAGATCAACGGGGTATTCCATGACGTATACAATACATCATCGTTTGGACCATAATGCGAAACTTTTGTGCAGGGGCATTTATGTTTGGTTACCACGGACATTGCTCTCGTATAAAACCGCATCGATTGTACATGTTTATCGATATATTAACGAATTTATAAAAAAAAAATATTACATTATTGTTTTTTTATTTTTAATCCAAATTTTATAAAATGTTATTATTATAATAATGATTTTAAATTGAGATGAAAGTAGATAAAATCAATGTGTAACTTTTATATTGTTTTTAGCGAAAATCTCAAATAAATTACTAAACTTTGAGATAGCTGTCAGAAAAATACTAAGAACGTCCAAATAAAACACCAATCTATTATATTTCATAATTTTATACTCTGACGTAACATGTGAAGTATACTCTTATGGCACTAATAGGGTTCCATATTATTGTGTGTCGTTATTGATTTTGACGTCGTTTAAGATAAATCTGATATTTGAAAAAAGGGTAACCTTCAACTTGTAAAAATATATACAAATAAACCTTTAACTTGAAAAACTATCATTCAATCCCCGAACTTGTAACTTGTCACTGAATAAAACCTCGAACTTGCAAATTATTGCTCTAATAAACCTTTGACCGGTTTGACCATAATTTCAGGTGATCGGAAATCCACGTATTAACGGATTGTTGATGTTATCTTATATACGTTATCAATTTTAATTTAAAAAATGATATCAGCAAACCGTCAATACCTGCATTTCCGATCGTTTGAAATTGTTGTCAAACCGGTCAAAGGTTTATTAGAACAATAATTTGCAAGTTCGAGGTTTTATTTAGTGACAAGTTACAAGTTCGGGATTGAATGACAATTTTTCAAGTTGAAGGTTTATTTGTATATATTTTTGCAAGTTGGAGGTTTTTTAGGGGTTTTACCCTTGAAAAAAGAATCAAAAGTATAATTTTAAATTTGTCAATATATACAAGTTGGTGTTTTATTTTAAAATTTGAAAAGTTTAGTATTTTTCTAACGGTTATGTCCAAGTTCGATAATTTTTTTGGATTTTTTCATTGTTTTTATTAAATATTAGATCTATAAGAATTATATATATTATTTGAATTTGTTTTTTAAAAAAATTGACATGAATGTAAATAAATTAAAAGTTATACTTTTTTACATGTTTTTATAAATTAATTTTTTTTTGAATAATTTTAAAATCATATTTTTGTATGGATATTTTTTACAATTAAAGTTTTTTAGATATTTGTTTAGAGATGGAGGTTAGTAATGTCAATCGGATCAGTCCATCCCGATCCGAACCTACACTTGATCCGAGGGTTTCAGGTTTAGGTTCGGACCGAGTCGACTTGTTAAATTTGTTTTTTCAAATTTATTTTTTAATTCTTTATTAATTTTTTTGAAAAAACATTGAACTTTCAGATCGGTCCGAAATCCGATCAAAATCCGATCTAAAAGTCTAAAAATTTTCAGATCGAAATATTTATGTTCTAAACCTGTTATATTTTGGATTGGGATGAAGTGGACCAGACTTCGAACTTCATGTAAAAATGGAATTAAATGAGAAATTTCGCGCTAGTAAAATTCTTTATAATTTTTTGTAATTTTTATCGATTATTTTCACGTAATTTTTGGAAACTAAAAAAATTAGGGACAAACAAAAAAAATTCAAACTTTATGACTTACTAAAATTTAATCTCACACTTTAAATTACTTAATTAAAATTGTTAGTTTTAGAGTTCGACTGGTTGTAGCGCAGCGGTTGCGTTGTGGGTGATGACATTTTCAGAGTGTTTGATAGTGATTATGAATGATAAGTACTGATTGGTTGATAAGTTGTTGTTGGCAACGATTGCAGATGGCTACGGTTAGAAGTGAATTTCGTTGCGGTTACAGTTGCGTTTTGATATAAATTATAAAAAAATATTATTTTAAAATAGGTTTTATAATAATTTTAATCAAATTTTTAGTATCATTTGATAAAATTATTTACTAAATTTATAATAATTAAATAATAAATTTAAAATACAAATATTATCAATTTAATTTATTTGAAGTAAAAAAATAATTCTATTATAATTTTTTTTAAATAATCATTATTAAATCTAGGGAGAATCGCCGTAAAATATCTGTACTTTTTTCTGGTCTCAATTTAATATCTATACTTTTTTAATTACTGAATAATACCTGTACAATTGGTTTTTCTCCAAATAAATCCTATATTTTTAAATTATTGGTCAAAAAATACCTACCGTCATATAACCACCACGTAAATAAATGGAAATCCTACGTGGCGGCGAAATTCTCAACCTCTCTCCTAATCATCGCGCCATGTCATCGCTACATCAAAAATTAAATAAAAATTAAATAAAAAATAAATAATAAATAAATTACTTAATAATAATAATTAATTAATTAAATAAAATTCATAAAATAAAGGGTAAAACCCCTAAAAAATCTCAAACTTGTAAAAATATATACAAATAAACCTTCAACTTGAAAAACTATCATTCAATCCCCGAACTTGTAATTTGTCACTGAATAAAACCTCGAACTTGCAAATTATTGCTCTAATAAATCTTTGACCGGTTTGACCACAATTTCAGACGATCGGAAATCTACGTATTAACGGATTGCTGATGTCACCTTATACACATTATCAATTTCAATTTAAAAAATGACATCAGCAATTCGTCAATACGTGAATTTTCGATCGTTTGAAATTGTGGTCAAACCGGTCAAAGGTTTATTAGAACAATAATTTGCAAGTTTGATGTTTTATTCAGTGACAAGTTAGAAGTTCGGGGATTGAATGACAGTTTTTCAAGTTGGTGGTTTATTTGTATATATTTTTGCAAATTGGAGGTTTTTTAGAGGTTTTACCCTAAAATAAATAATAAATATATATATATATACACGTATATAAATATATACATACACATATATACATATATATACATACATATAAACACACACATATATATACCATATATAAATATATATATACATACACATAAATATACATATACATACACATATACACATACACATATATATATATATACACATATACATATACATACATATATAAATATACACATCCACACACATATATATACATATATATACATACATATCGATACACATACATATATATATATATATTAATACATATATATAAACGTACACATATATACATATACATACATCCATATACATTCGCATATATATACATATACATTATACATACACATATATATACATATATACATATGCATACACACATATATATATACATACATATACAACATATACACATACATATATATACATATATATACAACACATACATATACATATAAATACATGTATATACGTATATCTATATATTTATATGTATGTATATATATATTTATATACATATGTATATATATATATTTATATACATATGTATATATACATATATATATACATACACACATATATATACCAATACATATATAAATAATATATATACATATACATGCTACAATAACATACACATACATATATATACATATATATACAACACATACATATACATATATATATACATGTATATACGTATATCTATATATTTATATGTATGTATATATATATTTATATATGTATGTATATATACATATATATACATATATATATATACATACACACATATATATATATATACCAATACATATATAAATAATATATATACATATACATGCTACATATATATATGACGCGATGATTAGGAGAGAGGTTGAGAATTTCGCCGCCACGTAGGATTTCCGTTTGTCTATCTGACGGTATTATTCAGTAATTAAAAAAGTACAGGTATTAAATTGAGACCATGAAAAAGTACATGTATTTTACGGCGATTCTCCCTTAAATCTAAAAAGTATACTATTATATATTGTTTTATTAAAATATAATACTAAAAAATAATATCAAATCATAACTCTAAACAAAATTATTACTATATATATATATATATTAGAGTTTTATATAATTTTTAATGAGGATATTTTAGTTTTTTTGTCAAAACGCTGGAAACCACTAACAAAACGCAAGTTAGATGTTACGATTAGAAAACACAAGTTTGGCTCCGGTTGCAGATGATTGCGGTTCAACCAGTCAGTTTTTCAATTGCATGCAACCGTCGAAAATCGCAATTGCTCCGCTTGCGGGTAGCGACGATGCAAGCAAGAATCTTTTGCCACTCTACAAAATTATATGCACCTACAAAATTATGTAGGGTGGCAAAAAGAGCAATTGATAATGGTTGGCCTAAGTGGGATTTGAATTTAGAGAGCAATTGCTCTTTTTTGCCACCCTATATTTTGTTATTGCGTATCCTTTAATTTTTATACTATTATTGTGTTTATGTTAATTCAAATCGATCAATTTAAGTTGAATCATAAAACTATTTTGGCATTTATTAAAAAATATTTAAGTAACTAATAAACTCTCTAATTACAACTGATAGGATTTAATATATAAAATAAATAAAAGATGTTTGTGTTTTTTTAATGTTTTTAATCGTTCGTTTGTGTTTTTTTTGTTATAGTCTTTTTTGTTTTGTTTTTAACCTGCTTTGTTTTTAAAGTTAAAGAATTTTAATTGAACAATTTAAAATGTGGAATTAAATTTTAGTAAGTGGTTTGGGATTTTTTTTGTGTTTGTCCCAAAACATTATAGAAAAAAAAAAACCTAGAGTCACATTTATCTCTCTCTCTCTTTCTTTCTCCCAATCCCCCGATCCGCGATCTCTTCTCCTATCTCTCGATATCGATCCCTATTGCTAAACCATCTGTTTTTCGATCTCAACTTCGCCGGAGACTTCACCGGTAATCTATATTTCTCTCTTTCTCGCTCTCTTGCGGTACTTGTATCTGTTCGATCATTAGGTCAGGTTTTCTATGAATCATTGGAATGTGGAATCAATTTGTCTAATCGAGTGGATCCAGATTTCTGGGTTATGTTCAGTTTCCCAGGATTTTTGATAACCGTCTCTAGGATTGTTTGTTCTTACGTGTTCATCGGAGATGGAATGTATACAGTTTTTGAAGGTTGTTTACTTGTTTGTATGAGCTTTGCTTGAAGTTTGTTTTATCCTGGACCTGTTTGTTTTTAACCTGTCTCTTGTAGTAAAATTGGTCATTAAGACCTTTAATTTGATTTTTAACATGTTTGGAAATTCTCATTCTCGTTACCGTCTCTGTGTTTTGTATTGCATTGTTTTCTGGGTCTTCATGACTTCATGAGAATGAACAAGTTTACAACTTGGTGTTTCATCTCCGGGAGTTTTCTCCTTTCCTTTATTAAACAGGACCATCAATCCCATGTGTGGGAGAAAATATCATATTGTTTGAAGAATTCTTTGCAATGGACTGTAGTTTCTTCTCGCGCATATTTTTGTTTTTTAGTAGTCCAGAAGGTATAATCACTCGTTTACTTTGTGCAAAATTTAGTTGATACAAAATCAAGGGGGTGTAATTTAGTAATATCTATTACAAGGGGCTAGCCTCGGCAATACATGTGCCTACTGTACTGGTGTCTTGGTTAAACTTAAGCTTTATGCTTTATTGTCCTCCTTAGATTGTCTGGAGTCATTGAGGCAACCCTAACGGGTTACAGTTTGCGGTCGGTTTTTTGGTTGGCTAATGTTCAACGAGGAGGAATTGAAGATATCTGTGGTAGTCAATATAACATAAATCTCCAGCAGCTCATGGAGGTTATGTTCCAACTCTTACAAGAAGAGCATTCATGATGTTGAATGTCCCTGGTCGAACCTGAACTCATTCATGATTGGCACCTAAGCATGTAGCCACCCTTTCATTTGGGCTTATGTTGAGAAATCCCATAACATATGTTTTATTGTCAAGACTTCAACTCTTACAAGAATCTATGCATAAACATTTGAAGTTGCATGCCCCAGATGCATCCCAAGCTCATTCATGCTCGGGATTTAAGCATTTAGCCTTTCTTTTATATGTGGGCATATGTTGAAATATATCACATTACATATGTTTTATTGTCGAGGTTTTGATGCTTACAAGAATCTTTGCATAAGCATTAGTGAGGTTGCATGCCCCAGTCTTCCCACATTCATTTGTGATTGGGATCTAAGCACATAGGTGCTCTTCTATATGTGTGCTTATGTTGAAAATATCCCATTACTATATGTTTTAATGTCAATGATTCATCTCTTACAAGGATATCTGCGTAAGGTTTCGTGAGGTTGTATGCCCCCATTCGTAGCCAAACTCATTAGTGATTGGGACCTAAGTATGTAGCAGTTTCTCCCTTTCATATGTGTTTTTTTTTTAATATTCCGTTACATATCTTTTATCATCGTGACTTCAATATTAACATCTTATAGTTACTTCCTTTTACCATGCTTCGTCATCTTTCTCCATTAGTATTGATGCTACTTGGTAACAAGGTATCCATGACGAAATTTGGCACCTAAATTGAAGCCTTGCAGGAGTGGGGCGTTAAAACCTTCGTTCATTAAAAATGGAGAAAAAAAAATCTAAGGATGATGAGAATGAGAAAGCTCTTGAAGCTTCGGTGATGGAAAACAATAAAGAAGACAAGGATATAGTGGCAGCGGGTACTGGTAAGGACAATAACGAGGTTACTGAAATCTCTGTCGACAGAAAGGAGGAGATCCAGAAGGTTGGGGAATCCTTCATGGATGAAAAACAGGGGGAGAAAACCTCAGAAGTCTCAGTAGAGGAAAATAAAATGGCTTCTAAGAAAGCTGAATTCTCTGGAAGGAAATCCCCAAGGGTAACCCGAGCGAAAACTAAAACTGTGAAGAGGCTTGTAAAGAGGATAGTAAAGAGAAATCCTATAGCAGGCTCACCTTCTGTTAAGGGGGCGGATGTGGAGGATGTGACTAAACAACAGAGAGATAATGAAGGTTCCAATGAGGAACTAACTCCAGCAGTAAGTCACGAGGAAGGTGAAAAAAGGGTTGAAGCTTCTTCTTTCGGAAGAAATGACGAGGAAGAAAAGAAAGTTATAGAGGGTTCAGCA